AAGGAGACGGAAATAACTGTTGCGCTCCAGCCATGAATGCCATACCAATTAGGGAATAACAGAGAGGGTGAAAAAAAAACTGAGGATACTGTTTGTCTGACTAGGTCTTGAGGTGGAAATTACATGCATGCTTTGTTTTAGGTAGTCGGCTCTGAATTTTACCTCCGGAGTTGTGGAGCTTTTGTTTTGACTTGTCATAAGAGCGCGGGGAAACATCTGTGGGGGTAATGACATCCTGGGGTGTGAGTGGGGGGAAAGAATGCAAAGGAAAGAGAGAAAATAAAAGGGAGAGAGAGAGAGTCACCAGGCAGCATCCTTTTGTTACACAAGGAGTGCATGTGACTGATCACCCATGTGTGAATGGAATACAACACCAGCAAAAAGGGTGCGATAGAAAAAAAAAAAGTAGAGTCCTTCCGTTTTGCACTGCATCCCTTAGTTTAGTAATATAATGTGTGAAGACCCATTTTGACGTGTTAAGCTAGAAATACAGAAGGATTCGAGTGGTTCTGCAGACTCTCCTGCCTGTCCATCTCGCCGGTCTGCCCCTCCAATTCCCCGCCCGCATACCCATCATACCACCCGGCTGGTGTTTGGCTTTCTGGTCTGTGTCCATCTGTCTCCTCTCAGCTTTGTATAACAGAGCTGCCATCAGGAGGATTCATTCAGCAGGGGGTGGGGATGGGAGTGGGGGTTGTCAAGCCATACTATTTCAATCCTCAGTCTGCATGTCTGAAAACTTTCAAACTAAAGTCGAACTTCCCTCAACTTTTACTGGGAATTTTAGTTGCATGCAAACTAATCAATATGTTTATGTTGTTGTTTTTCATGGATACAAATTGCTACGCTTTTTTTGCGCCATAAACCTTTAAGTATAGTATTTCCACAGGAAGTATGTTTTGTGCCTGCACTGTGTATTTTGTCCAAATAGAGAACATGTCACCATAGAAACCAAGAAAACAGAGCATTAAAAGAAGTGGTGGCAACGGTTGTATTTGAACCCAAAAGCATCTTGTTTTTATTTTCTTCTCTAACCGTGAGTTGGCAGATTAGAGGTTGTAACCATTTCAACTGGCATGGCAGAAAAATGGGTTTCATCTTACTGTAGAGATGAACTTATTGATCGCATTTAATTGCAAATATATTACTAGCGCCAATATTATGTAAAGCATTTCACAAACCATGATCACATCCAACACTAAACCCCATGGGGAATATGTTTATCAACAGACGCCTGGTACTTTTACCTGTCAGTATAGCACAAATTGTAGGGTTGTGTGTACTCTACTCTATCTTCTAGTGGCAAGAAGTTGTATTTCTAAAGCTAATTTTTGCTCTTTCAAACACCAGAATTATACTCACTTGTTGACCTACGTGTGGATAGCTGCAGACACTGGTCGATACAAGTAGATTTTACATTTTTCAAATGGATATATAAATAGCTAGTCCATTGCAATAAATGTCTTGCAGATGAGTCTAAAGCAGCTGTATAAAGTTGGCAGGAAGATGCCCATTTACATGTATCTAAAGAGAGTTTCCCAAATCTCCTGGTGGATACTGACGTGGTACCAGGCCAGATTAGATATATCGCTAGCATGGCCTATGTCCACCCTACAGACGGGCGGGGCTGAGATAGATTTTGGTCGCCCGACTGGAGATATCGCTAGCTCCGGGACGTCGGACTAGCGATTTTGCGAGTCCTGAATGTGATTAATACATAAGTAAAAGAAATTCCTATACACTCTTCACACAATGGTCTGCTACAACACCTACATTACTGATGCACCAAAGATCCTGAAATACTGGAACACCTTCACTTGGGGTAATAACCTCTCCCTAATCCAGATAAAACAGGCCACATCTTTTTCTGGCCGACAACCACATGTTTGGACCTGAAGGTGGTGGATTCAGACTCTGATAACAACATTTAGGAGAGCCTTGCATACTCGGGATACTCAAAATGATAACACTGGAGAGAGTTTAGTGTTGTCAGTGCAATGACATAAGAATTCAACTTGGTAACAACTTTTTAGAAGTTGTAAAGTTCACTTGCTAAAAACAGCCACAATATGGTGCTTTCTTCCTTGTACTGACTGTGTACAGCTCTCCAGACAGTAATGGAGCTTATTATGATGTATAACCAGCAGAAAGACCTGACAGTGTAAAGCTGTTCAGTGCTGTACAGGCACCAATGTGGAAGAGCCGATTCCTCTGTCCGAGAAGAACCAACAAACTATCCACAGAGCCCATGCTAGGTAAGCTAGCTGCATGTTGGTAGTTCTTCTGTTCTGTTCTACTGACATTACCATATACCACTCATTACTGTTTGAGAACCCTCCTTCATCTTAATGCTTCATTTATGTCTCCAACCTTGCTTATTACCCAGTCTAAAGCAAAAATAATCCTAGCTTGCTGATCTTGTCAACAACCATACTAAAACCCAGTCACAAAACTTCCCAGATGTGTAACGATCAAAAAGAAAGATGAGTACAAAGATGTATGAGGTCCAAGCAGCTGGTAAGACCACACGGAAAGATAATGTGCAATTTACATTGTACCTGAACATCATTTAAGGGTCATAGTGTTTATCTGAAAATGACAGATTTTTTTATATTCCCACTGAACTTTCAAGGTTATGCACGCAGCGTAGGAAAATCATCTTTGTGCATTTTATACTTGAAGAAAGTGACTTATAACTTTATTATTCTTATACTGACCACGCTAACTCACTTTTTGCTCATCTCCAGGAGAATCAAACATCTGAAGGGAAACTTTTAAAAAGACCAAAGAATATAGAACACACATCCCAATTTGGCCACCGTTATAGCCTCCTGTTAGAGTTTAGAATGGATTTTAAGATCTTGCTCATTAGTGAAGTGTTGAATGGTTTAGCTTCTGTGTAGTCCTTTCAGCCTCTCTGAGCTTGAATGTCCTTATTCCTCCATTAATCTTAGATCCTCTGATACAGTTCTTTGTAGTTCTTATCTTTATTAGCAAGATCAAATAGAGAATATAGATAGAGCACAATTTAAGCTATAACTATTCTGCACCTCACGTTATAATCACTGTCCACTTTGTTTGCCTTTGTTGCACAAATAGAAGGATGATCACACTGATAATTCTTTCACAAGCACAGTCAATGTTCCTCTCCCTGTGTGATACAACAAATACCAAACATAGTGTCCAAGGCCATCACTATATATGGACCAGCAGTTTTTCTCTGTAGCCCTATTTATACATCTGCATTTGGCCTCAGTCAGAAACCCTTGTGTGAATGCTTGGGTCGCTAGCAGATTGCCCCGCTTACTTGTAGTTGGCATGGGAGAAACCAAATTGTTTGCAACCCTACGTCAATTACTGCCAAGAAGCAATGAAACTTGAAAAAGTACAATGCAAACCAGAAATGGACGATGCTCACCTTCAAAATAAAAGTAGCAACTTAACATCATAACTACCATCTTTCAGAACATGCACTTTACACTATCACTCGGCAAGCAGTTGGCAAGTGTTTGCCAACGTTTCCATCTTCCACGCAAGCTACATGTGACGGCAGCAACGTGTTGGGGCCAAGGTTTTCACAGGAGGTTTTCAGTAAAGTTTATATTTCTTTACTGACTGATTAGAAACTTCCAACATTTCCCATCTGGCTGGGGATTACACATTTTTCCTAATCGACAGATGGTTGCCAGGGGGTTGGTGTCTGGTCTCTAGGCCTATGCGATTGGGGCTTTTGTACACATGTTTGTGTTTTTAAATCAGCCTTTATATCTAATGTACCCTATCCTCAGTCTGTTCCAACAAACATTCGACTGCTATTCATAAAAAGGATGTAAGAATACTTGCGTTATAGTGGTTTTTTATCCACATCCACGGACTCAAAAATATGTTTTTAAAGGGGAATGTCTTGTTCTAACAAATAAAAACCTCTGCATGAAGACAGATGAAAAGCTTGATAACTCCTGTTGATTTTCATGGCCGCAGGATGACAGCAAAACAGAACCAAGGACATTTTCAGCTTTGCAGGCAGACACAAATACTCAATAGGCAGCCTTACAGTGGAAGAAACTCACTGTAAAATTCGGCCAACTGAAGGGGGGAAGAAAAAAGAATCAAGGCCAGCTGTTCAATCAATTAAAGTGAAAAAAAAAAACTTAGTAAAAAGGTAGAGTTTGGCACAGAACACTGAATAATTGATCTCGAACCCTTAAGACAATTATGATATGTATTCACTTGATGATCATCTTCTCTGGTAACTTTTGTGGTGTGAGGTTTTAAAAGATTCAGCCCTGAAGTCTCTGATCTGGTTTCTCAAAGACTACAGGACTTGTTTGATAGAGTTCTTTGTGTCATACAGTGTGTGGGAGTCACCGACTGATTCTCAGCAAACAACCTCAATAGCCAATTAGAAGCAAGCCTGCTGCTACTTACTAGACTAGTTGCAAGTTATTTGATTGATTCAGAACATCTCTAGCCAAGATAAATGCAAAATACTGATTCATTTATTAATTATGCATGCCTGCTGAGCTCATCCACACGTACACACTTACAAACAATAGCAGGTGTCCTGCTCAGGAGTGGCGATCTACAATATTCAACATCCTCAAGTTAATTTTTCAAACTACATGAGCTGTTTTTCCTGCTATGGATTAATCCACATCTCATTTTTTCCTCAGTTATATTGTTTCATCTTTGTGCATATCAGCGTACACACAAAAAGCAGCTAGTCAAAAGTACAGCAGGATAAAGCGAGATTTTGTGAGATCTCAGGTTCTGGTGCTGGCAAGGCCTCAATAATATGCAATGTGTGGTATGTTGCCAAAACATGCTGTGTGTGGGTTTGAGAGAATAAAAGAGACGTCTTACACAGATCGAAATAAGAAAATCTTGTCTGCCGCTCAGCTCTGTGACTCAAAGAGAGATGCGCATACCCTTGCAAATACGCTTCCTGTGCAGCAAACCACAGTGTGGCAAAGGGCAGACACCAAATCAGAGTCAGTTACCTCAGAGTTGAAAAGCAGCCTCCCAAAGAGCTGCCGGGCCTCGTCCAAGCCTCCTTCCAAATACACGGCCCCTGAAATGAAAAACAGGAAATAAGAAACTTACTTTATTTAGAGGTGTGTGCAAACAATGTAGCTGTGCTGCAATTTGTGAACCTTACTTTGTACAACATGTGAAATGTTATTTAACATTAGTGTGAAAAAGCACGTCCTTCCACCAGTGCGGTGTAAAAAACTTCTACCAAATCTGAGGCAATATCAGAGTTCTTTGCTAATGGAAAACTTAAAATTAATTGAACTCCGCAATGAGTTATAATTGCTTTTTTAAAAGTAGGAGTGCATTTTTATTGCTTTTTCATGGTGAAATGACCTCAGGGTTCCAGTGCACATCCACCTCCCCCTTGTCAGAGAGCAGGATGAGAAGGACGAGGAGGAGGGAGGCAGAGATGGTTGCATCACCACTCCGAGATGTAACCAGCTAAGGTCAAAGAAACCTTGAATTTCTGTCATGCTGGGCCTGCCTCACATGCTTAGGCATGAACACGGACAGCATTTATAAAATGGTCTTAGCCAAGGTGACTAATTTGTTTGTGGATCCGAATTGAGAATTCTTTGCTTTTGTGAAACAGGACATGAAAAGCAAGAAATCTACCAAACTGTCAAACACGAGGACATGGCTTACACTAAACCCTGATCTTTTCTTAGCACTCAAAGCGCTTTACACAACTTGTGCATTCACCCATTCACACAAACACATTTTCAAAGTGCTTTCCAACTAACGTTCACACACACTCATACTCCGATGGATGCATAGGAGAGCCAAGTATCTCCTAGTAGTATCTTGCCTAGGATATTTGGCATGCAGACCAGGAATCGAACCACCAACCTTCCGATCAGTGCTCTACCGCCTGAGCTACAGCCAACCCCAACTACTGGTGGGTAGGGAAAATGTACATTCCCCAACTGGTTGGCGAGTGATTGCTGGAAGTTTGTAGGTAAAACTGTTTTAAAGAGATATTTGGTCTTGCACCAGAAACCTCCAGATTTCAACTGGTGCAGTTGCTTGCAGTTTCCATGGAAGATGCTGATTTGTCTTCAACATTCGGCAACTGCTGATCAAGCTGGAGTGAAAATGAAAAATGTGGCACAAACCAGAAACAGAGATTGTCCGCCTTCAAAAGAAAACATATCTTTTGAAACACGCTGGTCGCACCAGTAACGGACCACCTTTATTCTGAAAGTGAAATGTCACTATTTCGAGATTGTATTGCACTACCGTTCAGCAACCAGTTGGAAAGGTGCAAACTTTGCCAACTACAGGCGACTATTTTAGCAACAGCCAGCAACCTCTGCAACCACCCACCAACCGATTAGAAGATGCACATTTTTCCCAACAACTGGTGATTGTCAGGCAGTTACTGAGTCCACTTTTTCCCATGAACTTGCAGCAACCAGAGGTCTCACCCCCTACTGGCCATTGTGAAGAATGCAGCTTTAAAAGAGACAGGTCACCCCAAAATAAAAAGAACTTTTTTTCCTTCTGGTCTGTGTTTAGACTGTTTCGTGAGTTGCCACTTTTTAGACATTTTGGCTTTCAAATGACTTGCCTTCTCTTCAATATAGTGGAGCAGCATAGCACTTGTCTTTTGTTATTCGAAGAGCTTTGAAAAACCTAGCAAGAATGTCTCACTTCAGAAATAAGTGACTTCGTCAACGCTCACAAACCTTGTTTGAGCAATTTCAAGTAATCACAGTGCAAAAAGTATGCATCGGTTTGTGACTGAAGGCCCACAGTTGTGACACAAAAGAAAAATGAATGATCCAAATTAATGGCTAAAAGTTTACACTGCTTGGCAGCTGTCATCTACTAATAGTAAGTTTGGCAGATTGATCCCCAGCAAAGTGTCCTTGGGCAAGACAATGAATCCCGAATTCCTTTCCATCCGTTCATACATGATCCATCCATCATTCACGTAGAAATGCAGAAGTGCTTTGAGTGCTCAGTAAGAGCAGGAAAGGGTTATCTATTTGCCTCTTACTTCAGCAGACTTCAGAAAGCAACATAAAATTGCTCAATGAAGTTTTTGTGGGTTTTTTTTTCTTTTCTTAGAGTGACTGAGTCATTATTCCTGAAAGTGGACATTCCTCAAATTCAAATTCAAATTTTATTTGTCACGTACACAGTCATACACAGTACGATATGTAGTGAAATGCTTGGACAACTGCTCGTGACCTAAAGAGAACAAAAAAGGAAAAGGCTATGAATAAGATAGGAAATAAATATGAAAAATTAAAAAGGGTAAATTTAACTAGGAAGGAATAAAATATAAATTAAGGTTAAAAATGAAATAACTGTACAACACAAATTAGAATGAAGGGTAAATTTAACTGGGAAGAATAAGATAAAGATAAATATATAAATTAAAGTTGAAAATAAAATACCTGTACAACAAAATACACAATACACAATATAGAACTATATAAGAATGTATGAAGAAATCTAAATCTAAATAAATATATACACAATAACAGCAGCTGTACAAGTATTAACCGGAAATGAAGAATATAGTGACCAGTGTTGTGCAAAACCAAAGTCCAGAAAGTCCAGTGTGTGTGTAAGAACCATATGTGTGGGTCAGTACTGTGTGGTGGTGTGATTGAGAGACCGTATCGCCTGCGGGAAGAAGCTCCTCCTCAGTCTCTCTGTGTTGGTCTTCAGGGAGCGGAATCGCTTTCCTGACCTCAACAGAGAGAACAGTCTGTTGTTGGGATGGCTGAGGTCCTTCACGATCTTCCTGGCCTTGGTCCAGCACCACCTGCTGTAGATTGAGTGCAGGTCAGGGAGCTCGGAGCGGATGGTGCGCTCAGCTGACCGCACAACCCTCTGTAGAGCTCGTCTGTCCTGCATGGTGCTGTTCCCGAACCAGGTTAAGATGTTTCCCGCCAGGATGCTCTCTATGGTGCACGAGTAAAAGTTCCTGAGCACCTTGGAGGGCAGTTGGAAGTCTCTCAAGCGTCTGAGGTGGTAGAGACGCTGTCGGGCCTTTTTCACCACGGTGTTGATGTGACAGGACCATGACAGGTCCTGCGTGATGTGAACTCCGAGGTATTTGAAGCTGTCCACTCTCTCCACTGGGCACTCGTTGATGACGGGGGTCTGGTAGTTCCTCTCCTGCTTAGTGCTGAAGTCCACTATCAGCTCCTTTGTCTTACTGACGTTTAGAAGGAGGTTGTTCCTCTGGCACCAGTTCTCCAGATTCCTAATCTCCTTCAGGTAGGCCGTCTCGTTGTTATCAGAGATCAGGCCCACCACGACGGTGTCGTCAGCAAACTTGATGATGGTGGTGGAGCTGGTAGTGGCCACACAGTCATATGTGTACAAAGAGTACAGCAGGGGGCTCAGAACACACCCCTGGGGGGCTCCAGTGCTGAGAGTGGTGGAGGCTGAGACATGTCCGCCCATCCTTACTGCCTGTGGTCTGCCAGTTAGGAAGTTGGAGATCCACTGACACATAGATGAGCTGAGTCCCAGATGCTCCAGCTTGGTGGTGAGTGTGGAGGGAATTATGGTGTTAAATGCAGAGCTGTAGTCTATGAAGAGCATTTTAACATAATTCCCCCTTCTAGTGTCCAAGTGAGTGAGTGATGTGTGGAGGAGATGAGAGATGGCATCGTCTGTGGAACGATTTGGACGGTAAGCGAACTGTAGTGGGTCCAGTGTGTCTGATAGTGAAGAAATGATGAAGTCTCTGACCAGGCGTTCAAAGCACTTCATCACTACTGAGGTGAGGGCTACAGGGCGATAGTCATTGAGAGAAGCAGGGTGGGGTTTCTTCGGGACAGGAACATGATGGACTCTTTGAAGCATGTGGGGATCACCGACTGAGATAAAGAGATGTTGAATATCTCAGTGAACACAGGAGCTAGCTGGTATGCGCAGTCTCTTAGGATACGACCTAGGATGCCGTCTGGTCCTGCTGCTTTCCTGGTGTTCACTCTCTTGAAGGCTCTCCTTACTTCATGCTCGGAGATGACGAGCACGTTTCCGGTGCTGGCAGTATCTTCCTGTCTGCAGCCGTTAGCGCCGCTAACACTAGCATTGTTGGAGACCTTAGCTGCAGCCTCAAAGCGAGCATAGAAAGTGTTCAGCTCGTCTGCCAGAGTCACGGCCGCGTTCGTCATACCGGTTGTTGGTGCTTTATAGTCCGTTATTGTCCTTAGTCCCCGCCACAGGCTCCTAGAGTCACTCTGTTGGAGTTGTGACTCTAGTTTTCTCCCGTAGCGCTGCTTCGCCTCTTTCACCGCCCTCCGCACGTTATATGACGCGGCTTTGTATGGGTCCATGTCCCCCGTCATGAGTCCCGTGTTGTAGGCAGCGGTGCGGGATCTCAGAGCGTCGCGGATGGTTTTATCCACCCACGGCTTCTGGTTGGGAAACGTTGTGATAGTCTTTGTCTCCACGGTATCATCCGCTAGTTTCCCGATGAATCCCACAACCGCTTCCGTAAACACGTTGACGTCATCGTCTGAGCTGTTTCTGAACATGCCCCAGTCTGCGTCATCGAGTGCGTCCTGTAACGCGGCCACCGATTGATCCGTCCAGCGCGCGACCTTCCTCTGAACCGGAACTTCCTGTTTCAGCCTTTGTTTGTATTTTGGCATGAGGAAGATGGCGGCGTGATCAGATTTGCCAAACGGGGGGCGGGATTGTGCCTTGTAGCCGTCCTTGACCGTAGTGTAGCAGTGGTCCAGTGTCCTTTCACCCCTGGTGGGGCAGGTGATGTGTTGATAAAAGTTCGGCGCTGCGCGTTTGAGGTTGGCGCTATTAAAGTCCCCCGTCACAATAAGCGCAGCGTCCCGGTGTTGTGTCTGGTGCTGTGTGAGTGCCTCATGCAGCTCGCATAAGGCGGTGACCGTGTCCGCTTGTGTTGGAATATAAACGGCACTTACAATGACCGATGCAAATTCCCGAGGTAGATAAAAAGGACGACACATGATGGACAGTAGTTCCAGATTTGGTGTGCAGGAGCGTGTGAGAGGAACAACGTTCGCACTGTTGCACCAGTTGTTGTTC